AAACAGCCTCATTTTGACAATCTTTATGTGAATATAGTAAATGGAATATAAAATCCTGTTTAAGGGGATGCTAGCGTGATTCTGCATTTTTGGCACATTTTGCTCTTGGAACTGTCAATTCGTGAAAACATTTGTGTAATATACAAATTATGTGAATTTTGTGTACGGACCGACAGTGTTCCAACTTAATTTCAATGATACCATGCTCTTTTTTAATTTAGTCCGATTAGTGGAACACTGTCAATCTGTACACAAAAGCCACATAATTTGTATATTACACAAATGTTTTCATGAATTGACAGTTCTAGGAGAAAAAAGTGCCAAAAGTGCAGAATTACTCCAGCAACCCTTTAAAGGCCTTTATTATACACACTTTGAAATGTATTCGCAAATTTTTTTCAATTTTTGTTACAAAATGGTGGCACCAGAGCTCCGCAAAGGAAGACTCTTCTCACGGATAGTGTTTCGCGACCGGAAAGTTTTCTTCTCCACTTTTTGACTTGGAATAACAACCAAAAATTTTTGTGTTTTACATAAGATTAGCTCGGGAAGGATATTTAATAAAGGAGAGAATAAAGAGTGTATAAAATTAATTTATCTTCAATATTACAATATTGACAAATACTTATTGAAATCGAACTAAAATTATTGATATACCAATAGGTTTAGTTGTGCCATAGTGTTAAAAAAAATGTTGCGTGAGCTATAAGATCTTTTATAGTTTATAAAAGCTCGGGATGGTAGTTTAAGGGTTCAAACGATACGTGCATTGATTCGTTGCATCGTCTAACTCGGTTAGAATCGTGTTCAACACGAAAAAGAGACTCGCGAGACGTCTATCGTTTTTCTCGGATTACTTTTCTCCCCTCGACCCGCTCCTCGTCCCGGAAGTTCCGAGCATGGGCGGGAAAAAATGGAGAAGTCTCGAGCTCTCCGGGCAATCGAGCAACATTTGCCGAGCTCCCACGACTGTTTGGCGATAGCTGTGCCAACTTGTTTCGAGCACGCAACCCAATTTGTCTGCGTCTCATTGTTTTACTGCTCTCCCCCTTTCCCCGCCGCGCGATAGTAGTCGCTTCACCGGGTGCAGCCCGCGAATTATTGCAACCCTCCAATGATCGAGTGGAGTCTTCCCAAACTTTACAGTTTAATAACATTTTTGGACGCAAACTTGTGGATGCAAATAACATGACGGGGGATTTAACTCGATATTTTAAAATACCGCTTCGTACTTACCTTTGCAATATAATTGTATGGCTATAATGAAAGGGGATATAAATCATATTTTAGTGGAAACAGAGTCAGTGAAATGTTTAGTCACTAGAAAAGTTATTTGCGTTACGGCGAAATCAATTTGAGAAGTGCTAAGTGTCACAATATCACTGAAGTTTAAGGTATAATACTTTTTGCAAGTATGAAGTCAAATCTCAGTGTCCGTTATTTTACTAAAGAGAAACATAATTTAGGTTTTCTTCTATGACTAATTGATTTTATCGCTGACTCAATCCTCATTTTTACGTTGTAGTATCGTCACTGGCGTCATATTAGCACCCGTGAAAACGAACCCTTGGCTAAATTGTAGCAGTTAACAGTTTATTGCTTATTCGCGATACACAGACAACTTTTATTGCCACCAACAGCGGTTCAAATTAACCAGATGGTCAAACGAAGACCCTTCTTGTTCGTCTTCTCTACCTTTCGACGTATTCGAAGTGGTCGCGATTCATATTCTTTTAAAATTCAGGAAACTACTCCCGAGATGAAAATGCTGTGACAATCTGAAAAGGACCGAACGGTCAATGGAAAACGATCAATAGAACTCGACCAAAAAGTGAGGTGATTTTTTTTCAAATAGGATTAACTCAGTGGTCACACCTTGCTAAATCATTCCCTTTTATATTTTTAAACACTGTAACAATCGACATCTTAAACTTAACATTTTACATTTTTATGATCACATGTAAGTCTCACTTACAAAATTTAAAAAGACTCAAAGCTGAAAATCAATATCCATTGAAAAAATATTAACAAAAAATAAAAAAAGTCCAAAAGGGTTAAGTTAATAAACAGTTTGGCATTAAAACACATAATGTGCTTGTGTTGTGTGTGTATAAAATTTAACGATAGTGCTAATTCATAAATATATATTAAGGGAATCTTTGGAGCAACTTCGGATTTTATTTTATAATTACATTTTACTCCTATTTTTAATAATGTAATTAATCGAATAATTAATTAATAATTAATAATTTAATAATTTATTTTAATTCAGCTTACACATACTTACGTATGTGTAATATTTTAGTATTAATTATTAGATATTTCGCACAAAATGAAAAATAGATGATTGCCCTTTCAATGCCAGCAGGTATTCTTTTCATCTTGAACCGATGGCCATGGTTCGAGGTGAGAGACTTCGGGGATTCAAAGTTAAGCTTTGTGAAAATACTTGCTAGCGAGTGGCACTTGACACTTGGGATCTTCTCGGTTCTAAAATTCAGGTATCCCGGAAATGGGAAACGTGCTACAATGAATGGCTGTTCAGCTATTTGACCGGATATTTTGCCATTAACATCACAATATCGGTACCTGCCGACACAGCTCTAAGAAAAACACCTGAAATCGTGCCGACGATCCTTATTTTATCGCCGGAACGTGTGGAGGAAAATTTATCCCTAAGATTTCAAGTAATCCTGGCCATTTCCCAGGACCGGGAATCTTTTCTTCTCAAACGTATCGCGTATATAACGTAGATAATTTCTTACAAGAATGCGCGCGGTCAAGCACCCTTGTAACCTCAGGCTATCTAAATGATCTCTCTCCCCCCTCCCCCTTCTATTAACTTGAGTGGCTAGCAAAGAAACTAGTAACATTTGTCAAACAACCTTGAAAGAAGAATGAGAAGATCTCTTTTCGGGCTTTTTAAATACTTTAAAGAAATTAATCGATATGTGCAGGTTTACTGTTAGAAAATTATGACTATGATCATGTACACGCTATGCTGAAATGCCTCCTTACCTCAAAATTTCTAAAAGAATTCTTAATTCTATTTAAAATATATTTTAATTTTGTGTAAAATCTATTTTTTCATAGTCTTCACAAGGCATAATCAATGTAGCATAAATAATAGTTTTTAAAAATATAATCATGACTACATAAAAATTGATCAATTACTTTTTAATATTATGCAATTTAATATTACTTGCGTTTGGTGCCATTTAATAGGTATTTAAATATATCTTGCCTCTAATATAAAATCTTTCTCTTGATATTTTTAACGAGCAAAGAGTGGAACATAGTCTGCTTTAATTATTAATCATTAAACTATTAAATTTTTTTCTTGAGTGATATTAAGAGTGAAAGAAATTTTGACAATAAATGATATCTATCAATGTTTAACGTAAAATATCGATAAAAGAAACTATACTTTTACACTGTTGGTCTCATTGAGTCTAACTGAAAAAATGCCGTTGGAATTTAGTGGAGACCGATCGCAGGATATCGTACGTTCATTCATGAAATCAACACAAAGGCAGTGATGGGCACTGCGGGAGCATGAATGAACGTAGCCTGAAGCTTAGTGACTGGATGACGTAGGTCCCAAGGGACACTTCTTTGAGATTCCCGTTCAAGAGGCCTGTTGAGAAGATTTCTTTTCCAGCCTCTCGTCCGAGCCACATGTTGTTAGATCATGATCTACACTCGGCACGGTTCGTTAAAAGCCATCAGCCACCGACGTCGCTTAAGAATCGCTTAAGAAGATGTTAGTTTAGCTATGTCGGCTCGATGAGTTTTCCTTTTTGCAATGTATGCAGATAGAGAAAGTATTCTTATGTTAAAATTATGATATTACACACTTGACTATTAACGATAAAAATAATTGTTAGACGACATTAGGCTGGCAGATGGTTTATTTATTTAATTCCGACGTTTCGACCATTGCGGGTTGTGGTCCTTTTTAAGGAATTTAATAATAAATAATACGTTATCGATATTATTGTAAAAACGGAGACCCATCTATGGGCGTCACTCGGAGAACAGTGTTTGTAGGACAGTCCTACTATGGTCGTTACGTCGGATGGGCGTGCCTGATGTCAAACCTCCGTTTTTAATTTAAAATCGATGACGTAATATTTATTATTAAATTCCTTGAAAAGGACCACAACCCGCATAGTCGAAAAGTCGGAATTAAATAAATAAACCATCTGCCAGCCTAATGTCGTCTAACAATTATTAACTACTGGCGATTCTCATTCTTTCATTGACGATTTGTTAAATTAAATAATTGCGCATTCGGCGCTGCGCTGATTCGACAACCTCGCGATCTCGCAGGTGCAACAAGGAACGGGGGGGGGGGGGGGGGAAAAGTAGCAGAATCGTATATCGTAGCGGAATACGATTAATCCGAAATTTATGATGGAAACCAACAGGTGTCGGCGTACCGCACGGCCCTTTCGCTCCTCGTGTGTGTCCCGGTGTGTAACAAGGCGTACCACTCTACGCCGAAGGATTCGCCTAACCGATATGCGTGACTGCTCTTAAACGTTCGCTTCCGGTTTCCTGTACTATCGGCTTAATCAGATATGTTAATTACCCACGCGAATAACGCACAGGGATCGAGTAATTCTTTTAATATCTCGAGATTAATTGGCAGAGACGTTATTTCTTTTTCATGAAATACTGTAGTAAATATATTAAGGTGTTACACTATAGATCACGCTTATCTTCTCTTCGATAGATTAAATATTTGTTGATTTTATATTAAGATATACTGGATAACGTTACATTTTCCGTTATACATTTTTCTATTTTATTTTCAATTTAACACTTGGTAAAAATTTTAGGATGATTGATCTCGAGGGTAGTTGGATATTACCATCTAAAATTCCGAGTATAATTAGCGTAAATAATAAAAAGATGAGCCAAATGCTATTTTTAGTTGCTATTTTTGACACAAAGCGTTGTGTCTGTCAAGTCTCTCTTGCTATTAAACCTTTTACCTGTAATCTTCCTCGTTGCTGACGTAATCGGGCGGTATCAAATGCCAAGAAGCATCGTAACAATCGTCGTATCCGGTTGCCATTTTTCTCGCTTTTTTTCCCCACTTGCTCGATTAACGCACGTGTTCGCTTCTAGTCGGCACAAAAGGCTGGGAGATGTCCCGCGGCTTTTGCAGTCGAAATCAAAGACGTACCGTCGTCGGTTGATTCATCCGGCCCGAAGAAATTCCTTCACGTATATCGCTTTAATATATAAATCTCTTCTCGGATGTAACAGACCCGTGTTTTATATTCTCATTCCTCGAAAATCCTACGCGTATTTGGCACGGAAGTGTCATCGCATATCTTTCTGCGATGACTTTGCGATACGAATCCTACTTCATGACGAATTTAAACACAGAAGGAAGGTATTCTTACGAAGTCTTCCGATGATGTGACGTAGTTAACTTAGCAATTGCATTGCAGTACCTCCACTCCTGGGGCACGTAGGAGAAAAGTAAAAACACTTTTATTATGCAAATCGTACCCAAGCTATCGATTAAGCGCAGTCTCAAGTTCGTCGGATCAGCCGTTGTTGAGATCCGAAAATCTGAGGGCCCGTCAACTCGTGTACTCGCGTAAACTTACACGGTCGGTCTCGCACGCGTGTACTAGCTACGCTTACACTTGGCGCGAGACACTACCGTGTCTCGTGATATATCCCAAAGAACTTCCCGAAAAATTGATTTTACAATACGATTCGCCAACGTTAATACAGATACAACGAGCGATTAACAACGCGATCATCATTAGCCGTCAAAACACATAACGATTTGTCTCGAAAGTAATATTTCAAGATTTTCACGTTCTTTTTAACGTCCTTGCGTGTTATGCTATTGAACTAACATTTGCACTAAAGAATTTGTCACTCAAAAGTATTTAAAGAATGATCGTGGAAAACAACACCGAGATTATACTCTTGTCCACCTTGTGATAACCGTTTTACTGAGAACTATGTGGCAATATATCGATCACCTATATATTGTATCAAAAATATGGCTACCTGATAGGAGCTCTGGCAACCTTATCGGCGCGATAACACCCTACATAGATTGGTTTGACTACCGCAAATCGTAACGTCAAAGGGGGGCCGAAATATAATCGAGTCTTATCGATCCCCGATGATGCAAAAGGCACGCATTTGCATAATTGTTTTTCCCTGTATTTATGCATTAAAATTACATTTCCACAAAATTAACTTTACTTTTTTATAATATATATAATTAATCCAGTTATTATCGTGAGGTTATAGATTGCAGGTACAACAGTTTTACGATTTAACATAATTTTAATTTTGTATGTAACATTAATTAAAACACGTTCCTGTTACATACATAGAGGAAAGCCCTTTATCATGAGGTAGTAGGTTTTCAACGTCCAAATTTAATTGCAAATCTTTTTTCGTAATGATTGCACGATCTAACAATCCAATTTTCCATGAAACAGATTTCACTCTAAGGCATTAGCAAAGCACCAAAGCAAAGCAGATTGCATATGTCTAAAATTTGGCGCATTGTTGCGCACGTGTCACTTACAGATTAAAAGTAAAAAAAATCTTTATCTGTCATCGCAATTTTATAAATCGCGAAAAAGAAAAAAAAAGGAGAAATTTATAGATTGCCGTATCTATCACGTGTAAAATGATTTTAAGATTTTAATGATTGATAGTGCATTACCAGGCTGGGATTTTCTACCAGGCTGTGGTGACGCAGCGTTATTTCAGTAAACACAAGCACATTTTTATTACCATTATCGATTATTTTCTAATTATGTTGTTTTGGTTATTGTACAATTATCCAGTTTCTCGTTGATCGATTCGGTATCAATACAGCACGTACGGATAATTGTAATTAAATTATCATCTGAAGTGCATTCCGACGTAAAATCGTGAAGATAAAGGAGAAATAAAAAATTCAGATAACAATGTTGTAAATGCATCGAATGCGAAACAGCGGCTCTCTAGAGAGCTAGTAATCGGCCAATTGTTGTTGCTACTCGATAGCCGGTTGTATCGTACAATTTGTTAATGACAAGAGACCCTCGAGGTGAAGTATCGGCGGCTTAACCGACAAGTACTACCGAACGGAGCTCGCTACGAGTGCACTTGATAAAGTAACATCGTTTCCCTCACTATCTGTATTTATTTATGCAGCAGTTCGCACAGATAAGCCAATCGTCGCGTCACGTAATATTAATTGCTGTAATTATCGGGAGGGACATCATCTCGCGTCGTAAAAAAAATTACGCTATCGTGAAAATCAGAGACGTTCGATAGCGATGAACATGGTTAATAATAGCGGTCCACGTTGGTGCAATTTAAGCGCGGAGCGTTAGACACCGTCGTGTAGTTTCTTGGTTAAATTTCCTGGACACTGTGACACCGTTTATCTGCCCATCCAGCACATCTATGACATATGGGTCTAATCTTAGCTTATCGCGGTTAAAGCGATAAGGGGCGGTTGTTGCGCGTCGCAAAAATGAACGCGCTCGCGATAACTCTAATAATTTTATGGATAGGTGGGGTAAAGAAATTGCGAGCGCCGTAATCGTAGCGTGTAAAAGATTGATATAATTTCGAGCGACGCAAAAATTTGTGCCTCGGAAGATAAGGGGTCGTAACGAGCTATCAATCATTTTGCGCGGTATTGATTTAGACTATTTTATCATCGGTTGCATATTATGACTTTTAGTTGATATAATAATGCAACAATCGTTCAGTAATCAACAATAAGAAGCCTGTTCGTATCGGATAAATAATTTATTATCGTAAGATCAATAGTGTCTACATTTAGTAATAACACTATACGATTTTTGTTAAATATTATTATACATTTACGAGGAAGGAAGAAAATAATTACAATTTGTCATAGCATATCAATAAAAGGTATAAAAATCATAAATTACACCGCTGCCGATCTTCGCGCATACTTTGCATTTTGATGATCGGAATAAAAATAAATAAAAATTACGGACGCGAAATTGGGAAATGACTGATAGGAAATGAATATGTAATAGTAATTATTTTGCTTCCATACGCGATCATCATCGATTGAGAAATGGGATCGTTTTAAAAAGGAATGTGGACGATGGCGCTAAATATTTATATTATATCGCCAAAAAAATATACACTCGTAATTCTAACTTAAATAAGAGGCTAAATTAAAACGATTAAATGTTAACGCATTTTAATTAGCGTGTAAAAGTACTTTTCTTATTTTGCTTTGCGCAACAAAATAGATTTTGAAAGTAGTACAAAGTCCTACATCTATCTTAACGTATAGTCTTTCTTTTACTAGACTAAAGAAGAGATCTAAAGTTTGCATATTATACAAGATTATACAAATATGCGCGTCAATACAAATCGAAGCTAATATCTACCGTCCCTGAATTATAAGATAATCGTCGCTACAGATGTTATTATACATATAAATGAATATATCCAAAAAGAATTGGTTCAACAACGTTTTTTTTGGAGATAACACGCAAACTTTAGCCATATTTTTGCACGCGCTGCGTTTTTTGCGCTACTATATCGAAGAAAGAACATTCATACATACAATTTATGATCACAATTACGTAATTGTCGGGGACAGATACCATGTTTCGTCTAAATACGATAATGTCTGCGTACTTTGAACGCAGCGCCGTGATTTAGTTGCAGTTACATCCGCTTGCCTACAAAGTTTTCAACGGCTATAGTAACTTATCGCTGAAGCAGATTCAGGAAAAAGATTGGCCGTCCAAATGGGGAATCACCCTAAGCACACTTTAAAGTTACGTCATCAGAATCAACGTCCAATTAATCTTGTGTCGTCTTTAATTATATCCGACGATATGTCGTTTTCAAGTGAACACGTGGATTTATTCTTAGAGCGTTCAGGAATAGCGTTACGTATTTCTTTTTCTTCTATCGCATCGTGCAAACTATAATTGCATTATTATAGAAAGAAGCACAATTGCGCTCGAGTAAACACGATACTGACGACGTACTTTGGACCAGTCATACTTTGGACAGTTACAGTTCAGACGAAACCTCCCAGAGAGACGCTAACGTTTAAGATTCGACGAGACGTCCGCAAACGTCTTAATTCGTCAAATAATTTTTTAGAGTAATGATTGACAAGCGATGGCGACGGAATCTCGATTTTTATTTAGATATGTGTCTTGATAGCCTGATATCTTTGTTATATCTTGGCGACTAAACGGACACAGATATCTTTCGTTCGAAATCATTTAATCTTCGACAATTGCGTAACTGTCAATGACGTTCGATACGGCACGATATTGTATCACCGATAATGATCTCTCGTTTCGAAGGGAAGCTTTCATTCCTTCCCTGCCCACCTCTTTTTCTTTAGCTCTTTTTTGTTTTGCTGTTGCTAATTAACTACTTTTTTTTACGGTTACCGTGACTCGTGCGCTTACCCTTGTGACATTTACTCATGTTTGTACTGCGCTTCTGCACGACTGCACCGTTGTTAGGCCCCCCGGGTGATTTTGATTCTGTTAAAAAAAGGGCGTTGATTTCTTAAAAGAAAATTGGAAGGAATAGATTCAAGCGAGGTAAATAAAAAAAACGATGCTATAGGAAAAACGAGCTAACTCATGCAAGTGCGTTTTAGTGTACCTGAAATCGTTGATGCTGAGATGAAACGTACTTCGCCATTGATAAACTCGGTTGTCTTTAAGATCTTTCTTGTGGCACGTTCTAAACAATTAATAATTTGAATATAATTGACTTTATTTATTTAAATAAATGATTATATATATATATATATAAATGCGCGATTATATGCGATATAACCTTTTATATAATATTTATTTCCGTGACGACTACCGGTGACCGAGTTTTTCGGTCGCTGGATCTTCCTAGATTTATTACAAGCTCATTGATGCCATTCATGCATAGAAAGAAATAGATGCTCAAAACTTCAAATAATGCAAACGCAGAATGTGCGCGTATCACTTTAGCAGGGCATAACGTTTAAGGGGATGCTGGAGTGATTATGCACTTTCTGCAACTTTTGCATCTAGAACTGTCAATTCATGAAAACATTTGTGTAATATACAAATTATGTGGCTTTTGTGTACAGACCGACTAGTTTCCATTAATCGGATTAGGTAACCTATAACCTATTCGAAGGAATAGAATTTTTGTTAGACCTCTAAACTTAATTTCAATGATACCATACGGTTCTCTGATTTACTCCGATTAGTGGAAACTATAGTGGACTATAGTTCATCCGTACACAAAAGCCACATCGTTTGTATATTACAAATGTTTTCATGAATTGGCAGTTCTAGGAGCAAAAGGTGCAAAAAGTGCGGAAACACCCCAATATCCTCTTAATATTATCATAGGATTATTTCGAAGTGGATTAAACATTGCACAGGAATATTATAAAACGAAAAAAGAGATTTTGTTCATCGATTTTTATTTACGGACATATCATAATTTATTTAATCGACATGACAGACAACCGTCTTACGTTCTTACGTTACAAGCGGAGTACAAAACGCACGAAGCATATTCAAATCGATGAATTCTACATGATCTAACCAATTGGATAACAAGATTGCTAGATTTAACTTTACAGGATTCCTCCTTCCGAGGACATCTTACATAATACGTTTACTAACGCGAATGAATTCCAAACGAGGAGGAGCACATTTCCATAGAACAATTAGCAACAATTGCAAACGACAAAATTAAAAAGTTCGGTCGTATCAAGACGCGCACGATTATACACTGAAGACCGCGAAGCTTTTTTATCTATATAATCACAATATATTTTATTGTTGCTATCGTTATATATTTTATACAAAATTTCAAGTGTCAAATCGGTTGTGCAATTATAACCGTATTCATCTCATTTATAGTTATTTAAATTTCTCTCTAATTTACAATAAACGATCAGTTAATAGACACAACCGATATACCGAATCTACAGCATAGCTTTTCCTATGAACATTTTCTGTGATGCCGGAAAATAGTTAAAGAAAGTAGTTACTTTTTAAAGCCGTACAAATGTATCTTTAAACAAATGTAAAATCGAATTATCTTCTCAATTGATTTACTATTGTATTTTACGATCGCGTCTATGTCGAGGAAGCGGATAAAATAATTTAAATAATTTAACAACAAAGAGCCGCGCAAATTTGAAAAATGAAAATTCTTAAGTAATGTCGAAATTTAATATTGCGTATATAATCGCATATAAAATAATATCTAAAATATTTACATATAAATTACATATAAATGCATATAAATTAATATCGCATATATTGTAAATATAATAACACGTGTAAAACAAGCAGCCTCGCGGATTGCAATGTTTTTGTTACATGTTTCTTTAATTAATTATTAATAACGTTAACGATCATTAATAATATTAATAAGGACCCATTGACACGCGCAACAATTTAACGCACATATTCGTCACGTGTGTTTGAAGCTATTGATCGTAAGTTAAAAAGCAACTACGACAATGCGAGCAAACGGAAAGGGCGAGGTAAAGACGAAAGCGAATGTACATGCAGCTAATGCACAAGCGCGGGTAAGAGCAACGTGATGTGACGAAAAGCCAGCTAGAGAGTTAGTGGTTGAGAGCCGCAGAAGATGTAAAACGCGTGGAGAATCACTTACGTTCGGCGATCGACACTGATGACACCGAGAATTCCTTCGGTGCGTCGTTGTCCGAGCTGATCGGCGAGTAAAAGGTCGGATCGCCTTCCTGACTGGATCTGTCGGGCGTATAACACTCTGGCGAGTCGATACGTTGCGAAACCGTGAGGTGATCTTCTACCTTGGCCGACGATTTCTAAATATGTCGAACAAGCACGTTGAACATTTACGTATTGCGTAAAGAACATCGTCCCTAAAATGCCATCAATGTTCTTCGATATCGACGTCGTGCCGCTCCTACCGCGTAAAGGTTTCATAGAGCGAAGGAGCATAGAGCGAATTTCATTTATATGCATATACACGGATATGAAATTTTGCTGCTTTAATTAATTTCATTGTATTGCATTTTTAATTTCGAATTATTGAGAAATATAGTACGGCTGAATTTATTTAAAAAACGCAAAGGCATCGCACGCTTACTTGGCTTGTGTGTGCGTTTACTCTCGTTTAGAGCGTAATTTCGTGTGAACGCGAGGCAGCCACGTATCGATAGGACCGACTTCTTTCATTTCTCATTCTTCATAAAGGCAATCCTAAAAGGCAGTTTTCGAGGTGTTTACCTTCCCATAAACTTCTGCCTCGTTGTCTTTCTGGTGATAGCAGGTTTGAGCTACTGCCGCAGCCTGCTCGACATTTAGAAACGGCTTGGTATAGTTTTTCACGGTCTTGTTGAGCGATATAGTGTCTTGAAGGATGTCGCGAACCTCAGTCTGGGACACGATGCTGTCGTCGCTGTTTTCGTCGCTGTTCTCGTCGCTGTTCTCGTCGCTGTTCTCGTCCTCGTCGCTGTTCGCGTCGTTCGAAAGGCAACCAGAGCTACGGTCGACCGGCTGAAAAGATGATAGCGAAAACGTGGCCAGATAAATATTTCCTATCGTACAAACGCACATACATGTGCAACGCCGGACTAAAAATATAAATGAAGCGAGCGGCGTATCGTCGTAGCCGCTACGGGCTATCTGTCGAAGAAGGGTCAAGTCACAGAGTTTTCTTCGAATCCGCAAATTGATTGTAAACGTAAAACGCCGCTCGAATTTAATGATAACGTCCAGGATGAGAACACGAATGTCGGATTTAAAAATATGAAACTTGGTCACTCACATTGTAATCCTCGTCGTCTTCGCTACACTCCAAAGCGAGTCGATCGATCTTCTCTATCAGAGTTTCCGTCTCCTCTTCCTCCGATTCGCTCGTTGAGTCTTTTACTTTCGCCGGAGAGTCCATCGATTCCATCACTGATTTTTCTTCCGATGTCGTCGTTACCTTAAAGAAATGTTTTATTGTTTTATCGAATACTGTTTTATATCATATAGAGGGTGAGTCGTAAAGGCTGTCCCAATCCCTTTTATCATAAGAGATGAATTACCGACCGCAACGGTAGCCAACTCGGGAAAAAATGGATAAAATCTCGTTCTACATGTCTCAGTCATGTAATATCTAATTATTTTCCGAGAAATGTAATTAAATATTACATGACTGAGACATGTAGAACGAGATTTTATCCATTTTTTCCCGAATTGGCTACAGTTGCGGTCGGTAATTCATCTCTTGTGGTAAAAGGTTGGGACAGCCTTTACGACTCACCCTGTATACTAGTTTCAGTATTGCGAGGATAATTCTTAAGTTTCATCGCGAATATATTTAAATTCACATTTACGATAATCTCAGATACTTTTCTCCCGAGATTTTTAATGTTGGACACGCACAGAATCCGCTGAAAGATATCAGTCTGTAGCACATTTAAACCTAATCGACAATGTGCTCTATGCGCCTAGAAACATTCTATTTTATATAAGCAAAAATTCTATTTTATATTAGCAAATCAAAACGCTTAAAAAATTAGTCGACAATTTACGATTGTACAATGTATAATGCACAATTTATCAACTTGCACAAACTTTTTATTTATTGGCTACAAAATAGACTGTTTCTAGACGCAAAGAACACATTGTAGATTTAACCTTTAGACACACAAAGACATGCTAACAAAAGAGCACTCAAACTTGAAACATTCGGTGAAGGGATAGAGATTACGATGTTTTTAGATAATTATAAAAAAGAATCAATCGACACACACAAAAAACAAATGTGCATCGAACACACGTGATTTACATTTACATAGGGTAAGACCAATGACGGATGCGTTCTACTTACTGGGTCGGGATCGAGGATGCTACTAACGTGAATTTTGGTGGGCGGTGGCGACATGGAAGATTTGGATGCATCCAAGCAGGATAAGCTCGACAAAGTCAAACGAATGGACCTGATCAGAGCCTTCTTGGCCTCGTTGATCGACGGTCTCTTGTCCTACACTCACCACCGAGACTATTATCGTGCTAATTTTATTATCTTTCTGCAGTCGTTGCTACGTTTTACCAATAAACAAAACGCGCGGCTTACCTTGACCTCGTACTTCTCTTTGTTGATTACGGCGTCCAGATGCCTGCGACATATCTGCACGAATTTTACCTGCCGAAAAAGTGTTTAGAGGATTACAATGAGTTGAAAAATTGAAGGCGAATAAAATACAGCAAATAATACTTGACGAGTTTCAAAATTACTTGGACGTTTTTCTATAATGGAAAAATCAACGTGACACGAAGCTTGATTCCGCTGATCTTTAAGTTGTCCTTTTTAAATTAACGCGAATGATGCTAATGTTAAATCCTGAATTACGTGCAGATCAACGAACCATTCCACTCGGTGTGATTTTAGGGTAACCCAATATTACACCACCTATATTCGCAGTCACTCTGATCACACGCAGCAACACTAAGCTCGGTAAGAACAAGAGCCATGGCAATGGTCTCACGAGTTCCGGTTTTCCCGAGTCTTTCCGGGTCGCCTGATCTGAAATATCGATCATCTCAAATGTCGATCTCGGTCTCCGAGCAAATTAACTCTCGTCGTTTAAATAACACGCAAATCGCACCTCCGCTGAATTCCTGTCTAGGTAGACTCCATTCCGCACACTTCTCCACAACCCACAGGAAATTGTTCATGAGTTTCAGCACTGACTGGCCCAATCTGCTTTGCAACACTACTGAGCTTAGGTATCTCAGTTCCACCCAAATATAACTTTCTTGCGGTGCCTCGTTGACTGCCTAACGACACGAGTGAACAATAATTTGCTCGATCAATCGGACGTTCGCTCGGATATTTATACAGAAACTAATTTTCGAATGCTTACTGTCTTTGACGAACGTGCCATGGCCATGTTTATATCGGAAGTAAATCAATACCTAGAAAGATATTTCAGACAGCATAAATTGGTTTGTTCGCGATAATTATCAATTTAATTCTAAGACGATAGAGTAAGAATGCAATCTCAAATAAAGAAATTACAACCGTTGTAGTGCACAACAAAAACAGGACAACACTCGCGAAAATAAACCGGTCGATTTTTATCGAAAAGAATAAGCGCCCTTCTTTATCATAAAGGTTTTTTTCTTTAATAATGGAATTTAAGTGTTAAAGTATATTTATTCAGAGACAAAAGTGTCGTTAACAGTAATTGATTTAACATATTTCCGATATGTTATTCCGTTCGTTTTCCACCAACTGTAAGCGAATGTTTAATAAGATTCGGATGTTTCTGTAAAATGCTCGCGTATCCCGGGAACGTGTTTTGCAATGGATCCGAGTTATGTTTAGACGGAGACAGCACGATGATGGTCCGTGGTCAGAGCATGTGAATAAAAATTTTCCCCCATTAAATCTCAATGACTCAAGTTAAGTCCTAATGACTCAGAAATGCAAAATAGACAATGAAGAAAGCGACGACGATAAATTATTATCAGGAAGGCACGACCTCGGCTTATCAGGCGGAACGCCGAAAGAAATTAGCAGCGTATTCTCGTCGCAAAACACAATATGCACACGAACACTGACAGAGACGAGTTTAGTGTCTCACCGAAAAATATCCAGAAAAGCTACGTTTTATGGATTTTTTATCACGCGGTGTTAATCTATGCGCGTAGTTTCTCCTGAAGTATTCGTGTCATGTTTATATGTTACACCAGCGATATTTATTATATTTACACTTTCAGTAATTTTTATGATTTCAACTAAACAAAATCAATTTTTAAATTTCAAATATATTTGACAATAAACAAGTTGAGACCTAAATTATTTAAATATTTGCAATTTTTAAGTATTTTAATTTGTCCGTATCTGCTGGTTTATTTGCATAAATGGGAAAATTTTTTTTACAAACTTATAAACGAAGACGCTCTTTGCTAAATGTCCTCGATATGTACAAATCCACGTCAGAAATGAACCGCGTGCATGCCACAAGTGCAAACGATATACAAGTAAAAATAATGTGCTGACTGAGCTTTATCAATGATATTTTTCTCGCCTGTAAAATTTTGTAATTTAACCGATAATGACAATTTAACGTAGTTTTCCTCTCGCGAGTCAAATAAATAATTGGCTCAAATGATATTGATAGGGCGCTACAGAATAATTTGTGGTGACGAATGATGAAAACATTTTAGGGAGTTATGTGTACGTTAAAACAAAATGCTAATGTATTTAATTGCGTAATTTTAATTTGTTCTGAATTCCAATACTGAATCTTTATCATAAAATTTATGATATATAAAATGGATTGACAAATGGATGTATAATAATTTAATATATTGACTAATGGACGTATAATAATTTAACGGATTGATTAATAGTTAGACTTTTTAATCGTAGTCGATGTGATGTAACAGAACTTGAACTTTAGATTGGCTAAGTGGTCGATATTATTAACAGATTGGCGCAGTTAAAATTTCTCGAAGATAATCGCTCTAAATTTTTCATATTTCAGGATGTGATCTGAGAGCAAAGTTTAGACAAATTGCAGACATGCGATTAGGAACGTAACATTTTATACATAATGTATGTGAAATTTTACTTGGTCTCTTCTCAATTTCGGAAAATTAAATAGTAGGCAACTGTGCGTTTACATTACACGCCGGGCGATAAGTAAAAATTATGTCTGTGCGCTGTCTAGTAAAAATCTTAACTATCTGTTGTCTTACTCACTCGCTTACACGAGCAAATGTCCGTTATCGTAGTCACGATGTTTGTCTTTTTCGACTTTTATCGTGTTTTCGTTTGATTCGTGTGTAGTAGGTCCTCTTGACCGTCAAATCTTGCTGCCTATCGGCACAATATAAGAGAAAAAGAAATAGTTTTTTCCGTCGAACACACACGTAGTGAGCGCGTGTTTCTACTGACGCACGAATAATCCAGGAGAATGTGAGATCTTTCAGTTGTATTATTTCAACCGTTTTGAACAGAACCGCCGATTGTCATAATTTAGACATTTTAATAGCGTAATCGGTTATTCTTTAAAGTATATTTTACTAAATTGTGTATCTTTCGGGGGGGAAATTACGTAAAAATTATTCGACAGCACAAACCACCGAGGAGCGTTTTCAGGACATCCTTAGAACATTCTATATCCTAAGGACGTTCGAAAGAAACAGTACAAATTCCTTGGAGATTTGTACGGCTCTTCTAGGCATTCTCTTATTGTATTGATATTCGTAATTATATTATTTGATGATCAACAAGAGTGACGAACTTTCTTGCAAACGCAGCAATTAGAGAACGAGAGAAATTACAACTCCATAAATAGTGAAAAATAAAACTTTATCGCGGCTGGAAATCGTTTATCTCTTTTCCGTGGATGAACTAACACACTGGAATTCGCGTCAAAACATCATTATTTGTCAAAATATAGCACACTGTTGACTGCCGAATAATTCGCTACGCGTGTTTAGAATGTCGGGTCAGAAAGGGCAGAGTTTGAAATAGCATCTTACACTGGTCAATACACAAGTCTCCAGTTGATTTCGATGCTATTTGGCTACAAATCACAGAAAGTCTTATGAAATAATTACTTTTTCAGCCTCATAAAAATTAGCAGATATAATCTTTCTTAATATATCGCATAACAATCTGCTTAAAGCGCAGAATAATAGGAAACTTTCCCAGTTATTGATACGTTTCTTCGATATATAAATGATTTTTGCAACCTGCCTTTAAACACTAACTTCAATTACCTCGTTGCAAATATAAAGACTGAATAGAGAATTGTCGTCGCTACTGCTCCTGACTGTGATCCTCGTCGCAATCACCTGCTAGAACGGTGTCCTTAGCGGCCGCTAGCGGAAGCTGTACTCCGAAACAGTACTCAATCACGCGCGAACGGAGCCGACACTTTCGTGACTGTGAGATGTTGAGCGCACACTGAGAAAGCAGAAGTTTCACGCACAGTAACGTAACAATGATCGTGAAAGCGGCGTCTTACATGTAAGGGCCCGCAGCAATTTTTGGAGAAGAGAATAAAGCCTGCGGAGCAATGGAAATGATGCGTTTCTTCGTGCCTGGATTGTGTACACGAGCCAGTTAGTAGAAACGTGTCGGACAACATTTCTAGTAAAACATTGCGAAGAAACGCATCAGCCACCGTGGACAGTATCAGAAAAAAAAAGAATAAGACTTCAATTCAAATCCACTGACAGAAAAGCATCACAAATTTTTCGGCTGATCAGTTAACATAAAATATATTCATATTGTCTTTTTGTAAAAATTTGATGCACTGTTTACAAATCTGCGAAGCGCTTCCTCGTGAATCTTCTTTTCTTGGTTAAATTTACAATCGCATAATTTATCTTTACTAACACATATCTATTTTTGTACTCCTAATATACATCTTGTAATAATACATGAAGAATTTCGCGTCATCTATTACGTCGTTTTTTACGTCAAAATTAATTTTTTTACAGCGGATAATTTATTTTATACATAGCTTTGCTTTTTAAACGGTTTTAATTAATTGTACTAAATAATTTACACGATTTTTTAGCGTAACTCAAGACTTCTCTCTCCTTTTCTCTCGTATGACCTTCTCTCGCAATTCTTGTAATTGAGAGATTAAAGATATTATTAATATCCTTGCGTCAAGTATTTCGACACACTTGAGGATTAAAAAATAATTTGCATTTGAGTCGATTTTATTAAACGTTTATTATATCGGCATTAAAATTTAAAATTTTGAAGCACATATGCGCGCATACAGAGCAATGAGAATAGAGCGCAAGCCAAACTGTACCCTCCTTCCTCGCTGGAACTTAGTAAAGATGTAGCACGTAGTGTAAATTACATCCTAGACAATTATTTCACGATAATTCGACGTTTTCCGCTTAAATTAATTCGATTATGACGCATCTACAATCAATGTTGATCTCGATAGTCGAAACTAATAATATTGAAAGCACACAACATGCCAAAAACACGTAAGCGTTCACAAAACGTCTACATGCCGTAATCCTTTCGCTCGTTGTCCCTCTCACTCGTCTGCTCTCGGAACGTATGATTTTACAAACTCTCTTTTTTGACGAAAGTAAAATATAGTAGTGTCACAATCGACGGTGTCTCTACGATATAATTTAAGAAACAGTTCGCGTTTCCTCGTGCGATTCTGAGTATTTTACCCGAATCTTCAACTTACCGCATTTTTTAAGGCCATTATTATCCCGAGAGACTGTCATGGAGATGCAAACATGATCGTTTATTTTCTAAAATCGATTTGTACCGGGTAAACATTAATAGATGAATATCTTTCAATATGATCTAATCTTAATCTTTCACATCTTTGTAATTCAATAATCAAGTGTAAGCGTAGCGTTTTGTCTCGCAATCTGTCTTCACGAAGCACACACCAATTAACTGAAAAATCAAAATACCTGTTGCTATACATGTGGTGTTTGTGTTTCTACGAATATGTCATGTAGTAGCTTCTATGTTGGTAAGACGCAGATAGAATGTCGAAGCGGAATTGAATTTGAATTATTAACATTATGTATTCAAATTATATCTCGTTGGCAATGAAAACTTGTTGCTTCACACGAAACCACTGAGCACATCGGATATATTGCACGTAGAAAACGAGTGGAACAGGTTGAGCAGCTCTCGACTGAGCTTCTCTGTAGGACTAATGTTTCAAATGACTACAGATTTTAAAAGACAAAATTATTGACGGGAGCTTCGTGATTCATTATCGATACAAACTTAATACAATTACAAACAAAACACTCACGCATTAAAAAAAAGTGTAGTTAACGAAAGTCGCTACGTAACAGTACGGACGCAGATAACATCGATAGGTATCGGTATCCATAAATTTTTGCGGCAATTCGGGAGCCATTGATCTTCGGAACTCTATCATTTTAACGCTATAAGGAATTGTCATAATTTGTGATAGATTACTAGTTGATTTTCGTCTTCTAATTTCTTTCATTTCTCTCCTTCCGTCAACGGCCAAGAAAAAACAAGTTATTCAAATGCACTACTCAACTTAAATCTATTCTAATATCGTGCGAATCTTAATGATTTCAGTGAACTTTATTAACAAAATGTACGCACAATTCGCGCAAAAACTGTTGAATTTGCTCATGTAAAATAGCTTATATAATAATAGTAATTACGCAAGGGGTAGTGATACTGGCTCACAGGCATGGTAAACTGAAACGCACTTGGATAATTTGCTGTTGTTCATTTCGATTACATCCGTAAATAAAAAAGGTTAATATTCCTCCTCGTCATCGGGCGCAAGTCCGTCGCCTTCCAATTCTTCGGGTGGCGCAAAGCCATCCTGAAAAGAAAAGATAAACAGAGATATTACTCGAGACATTACCAGAGGAGGAAAAGATCTCTATTGCAAACTTATTATATGAATACAAACTACCTCTGTTGCATAAAGGACATCTAAAATTTTCTGTACAATAGGTGGTGGATCGCCGCTGTTGTCGCAATCTTGGCACATGACTTCTATGTCACGTAACTTTCCAAAATAGAAATCTCTCTCCTTTTCCAGACCTTCGACTGACATTTTCAATTCGACCAACTGAAATATTTTATTTAAATTTTATTAAGAGACACATAGAAAAGAACATTCATTGTCGTAAATATCTATCGAACAAAATGCGTGTGCAATACCTGTGCACTAAGTTCCTCAATTTTTCCATTATCGCCACGGTTGCCGACTGTGGTTTTGGGTGGCGCACGGTACTGAACTTTACTTACTAGATAAAGAAAATACAACGCTTTAAAATATTATGTTAAAACCACAAAGTAATTATTTATACTTTTGTAATACAAATTTGTTTGTATCGCGATTGTAACTAGTGTAAAAATTAACAAAGCTACCTAAATATATAAATGTACAAGCTATTTTGTGACAAGCAAAACAATGCATGCAGAAATACGGTTCAAAATCATGCACAATATGTGTATTTTACAATCATAATAAATTGGGGGTCTTACAAAGATATACATATACACACCGATCCCTTGATTCATTTCGAGTTTCCGTTCCACGTGGTTTCTTTTATGACGGTGAGAATCGTCAGTACAAAAAATGTACGAGAAAAGTCCGCGTGCATTGTAATAATACTTAATATTTGCACAAACATAATAATCACGCAAGCAAATTCGAAAAGTAATTTGTCATGCTTTCCACAACTAAGAAAGGTCAGAATGATGTAATAAGTACAATCAAATAAGAACTTTTGGCTTACTGATGCGTAACAATTTCAATAAATACCGCAAGAAAAATATTTTCTGACCGCGTATGAAAAGTGCCACGTAAAGAAATTATTTGTCGCATAAAAAAAGAGGCGGGAATAAAATCGAGGGATGACTGTGTACAAATGAAATCTTAGCATTATGTAATAAAAGAAAATCGCAAGGCAAGTGCTCCTAAGAAGTAAAGAAATGATTCTCATATTAACTTTCAGAACATTGTGTTTCAACAAATCTTGATAGAGACAGTGATGACAGACTAGCGTTGATACAAACGATTATCATAAATCACTGGAAGGTACTTTCACCAGAGTGAGGGAACAATATATTACGACTACGTATCTCATTCTCAGAATTATGTGCCCACTGAAATTTTGCCTGTTTCAATAATCGTCTTCTCACATACTGCGATAAACAGTACTAACGAAGTTACCACTCAGACATTTTTTTTTTAATCAGTGAATACAGAGAAGCTACTAGGGTTTCACACACACATAATTTACTCTGTACTTTCCTTTATGTACCCCAGTATTAAAACATTACGGAGCTAAAGAAGCAAAATATAAGTGACGAGAGTTACAATTAAAAACAAAAAGAGATATTAAATTTCACCTAAAGTGTTTGTACTATCTGCACGCATGGTAGATGGTTGTCCCTCACCTAAAGGCAAATTTCATTTCAAGTTATTGAGGACGTATTATGCGACAATTGAAACTCCTGTTGAGATGTTTAGCAAGGGGGAAGTGAATTCAATACCTATGTCACGGACTATAAAATTGCAGTATAAATTTTCTGGACAGTTTTCAATCACCCTGCCAACTTGGTATTCATTCTGTAATTATTTATTACCTTGCCTGCTGCAGTAAGCCCAATCAAATTTTCATAATGTATCAAGGGATAATCAAGCAATCAAGTCATTGTCAATTATTGATTAGTACAAAATCTGTGTTAACGTACAAGTTTGAAATTGTATTTGGAAAAAGATTATTCTCTCTGACTATATTATCAGATCCCATTCTCTCTCTCTCTCTCTCTCTTTTTTAAATGGTGTTAAAACTGAAAATTCTTTTATGGCAAAAAGTAAGATCATTAAATGATGTACCAGTAGTACGAGGAGCCGGTTTAGCCAAATTTATGTCACGTTGGGGAACACGTTTCGCGTTAGAACTGCCACGAGGTGCATTATTTCCGCCACTACCCATAGGCTCTCCTCCTCGCATAGCAAGCGCATCGTACGGCTCTGCTCCCGAGTAGTTTGCGTCAAAGAATTTCTTGAACCATTGTAAAAACTCAAAGTTGTCTTGGAACCTGCCTTTCACCAGCCTATCAATTGGCACAATCTGCAAAGGAGGAGCGGAAGACGTGTGCAACAAAAGTAAATCAAACAAAATTAGATATAAACAAACTCCGCGAACGAATGCGGTTCTACATTAACATTAGTTCAATTTTAACGCTAGAAAATAACATTTCCTCACGACACTATTAAAAATAAGCGGCTCTAAGACTCTTCCTATCGCTCTGCGCAGTAAATCAGGACAAATGTAGAGGCAACATTGAACATCCTAAATTATACGCATACATATGAAAATTATTTCAACGATTTATCTATAAATATGTGTAACAAATTTTTGCACAGATCAGATCAATTCCCGAGATGAAACTTGTTATATCTGAATGATGTGGAAAATTGAAGAGTGCGCGTAACGTGAAGTACATATGCATGTTTGCATGTAAAGTCTAATCTACAATGTGCTTTCTGGGTATCTAGAAACATTCTATTTTTAAACAAATCAAAACGAAGAATTTGTCGGCAATGTACGATTATACAATGCACGATATAAAAATACATCATGACACAATGTATAACATACACTTTGTCGACTTGTACAAATTTTCTAAAATTTCTACGTATTTATTGACTACAAAGTAAAATGTATCTAGACGCAGAGAGCACATTGTAGATTAGGCTTGACACCGTTCAAGTAGCTTGTAACAAACGTCTATGCACATAAATACTTAAAGTAACGTGGTGACCGAGACAAATTGAGGATACAATACTACTGCATTATAAATTGCGGTGTGCGTGCGCGTGTACACGTGTGTGGTATCGTTGTTGCGGCAAGTTTCATCTAAACATACAACAGCATGCAAGAAGCGGCCGCGTAAGACTGCAACAATGTACCCTGCTGCTGCCGCGGGACGATGTTACGTTGCTGTATGTGTCTTTGTTGGACTTGCGGCTGTTTCGATTGCGGCGGCAAGGGTACCAACTGGGGATTCGACAGAGTGTGCGTCCCATCCACGCCGGAGCCCAGCGGTATGCAGCCGCGCGCGTCGTAAGCGTCATACTCGCGCCCGTCGTAATTTGCGTCGAAAAACTTTTTGAACCACTGTAGAAACTCAAAGTTATCTTGAAAGCGCCCTTTTATCAGCTTGTCCACTGGTATTACCTGAACCATTTCCACGTGTCGTGTCATTAGGATTTTCATCTGGCCGCGCGCAAAGTTACACACAGCTATTACAATCGCGGGACAACGCAACCTCTAGACGCCGAGGCGACAGTCAATATCGCGCGCGTCGCAGCTTACCTTTTTAATATCTCTCTAAAATAATCTTTCATTCTTATGAAGAGCTTAGCCGCTCACTCTTACCTTGTCCACGCTCATCTTTTTGAAGCCGCCTTGGAGAATTTTAAAATTCTGTATATACTCGTGCTCCAGATTGGTCTTGAACTTGACCCTTTTCAAGGGCACGCTGGCCGGGAAGAGCATGTCCATGAACTGACAGTAGACCGCGCCGGTGCACAGCTCCTCGATCTTGGTGAACGAGGACTGCAGGCAGTCGTTGACCCACGCAAGCATGTCGTGACGACTGAGGTTGTCGGATGTCATGTTCGTGGCGTACACGTTAACAGCCATGTTGCTCCGTTTGTTCTCCAACTGGAAAGCGTAGAACAACAGATTAGCGCGCGTTAAAATATCCGGCGTGATTCAGCGATGCCGAAGCGACGCGAAAACAAGACGCGACCGCTCAGTCAATCGAGTCTGGAGAGACGTTCCGTCACGATTATCCGGGGACCGGAAACCGGAGAACCGACAAAGCCGGGAAACTCGACGTCGTCCGGCACAAATAAAGTCGACGGGCGGGATCGTGGGCGACGACCACGGCTCCGTGGAGAGAGCTGGGGTGGCTCGCCGAGCTCCAGGGAGATCCCGAGACGCGGCATTCCATTCGCTTCTTTTCTCGTGCTTTTTTTTGCGACGAAATTGTCGCGCCGTCGACATATTCGGCATTCTTTATTCCCCGCGGCGCCACGGCTTTGGTGCACACGGCGGACCCTCTCGGAGAGATCTCGCGCGATCGCCCACCGCCCGCCCGGTCGACTCGCTTCGCCCGGGCGACGCGCCTCGCCGCGGCGCCGCCCGGCCCGGCCGCGTGGGCCCCTACGCACAACTTACCGAGGATGGCGAAAACACGGGGGTAACACCGCCACGGGAGTGGTTCACGGCTCGCAGATGACAAATGTGCACTAGTCCGTTCAAACACGCTTACAACGGAAACTCATAACGGTTCCTTCGAGCGCGATTGGCCGGCGTGGCGGCACGGATCGCGCGAGAAGGTAGATGGTCGAGCTCGACCGAGAAATCCTCCTTCCCTTCTTTGAGACCCCAGATTTACCGACAGAGTCGGATACCGTTTTTGCGTTTGTAAATCTGGGGTGCTTTCGCGACGTAGAGTAAAATGATCCGGATCAAAATGATCCGTGCTATGATTGGTCAAATCTGAAATTTCATTGAATAAAATTTCAATGAGATGCTACGAAATTTCAGATTTGACCAATCATAGCACGGATTATTTTGATCCGGATCATTTTACTCTACGTCGCGAAAGCACCCCTTATTATTTGCATTTATGTACAAACTAATACCAGACCCAAGTGTAGAATGCATAGTTGAACATTTTCATCTAAAAAACATTGAGATTTGAAGTCTAATTCCTATCGCATTATGTATTGCAATATTTGTAATACATAATGCGATACGAATTAGACTTCAAACCTCAATGTTTTTTATATGAAAATGTTCTACTATGCATTCTACACTTGGGTCTGGTATTAGTTTGTACATAAATGCTACATAATTATTTTCGTTTGTATCTATAATATGACATATTGAGATTACGTTTCTTTACAAACCTCCAAAAACTACCTCCAAAAGCTATACTTTTATCGCGGATATAAACCCAAGTGCGTTTTACCCTGTTTTACCCTTTCGAAAAGTCGATATGACAGATGTGGCTACGTAGTTTGTACATCCATGATAAAATGCGATGGCGCTGTGAATCAACATGATTTCACAACTCTGCCGCTCTCAGTCTTCTCTGGTCTTCTCTCTGTTCGTTATAGTGTTTTTTCCAAGTACGAAAGTAACCTCCAAACGCTTCTGTCATAATTCACCGTCCTGGCCGAGAAGATATTTATTTCGCGAGCATTTTTCGCGACACACAAGTAGGTAGCCTGTAAACCTCAACTGCTGATATTACCGTGTAACTTATGATAATTCCTGGCGAATTAAACATTTTACATCCTTCGCCGTTTGAATGTTCACTGAAAACTGCTGTCGAAAGTCTGTGCTGTCAGTAAACACCGATCTGATTAACGCGATGTATTCTTTCAAACAAATTCAATCGAACCAGCGAACAGTTTAACTTTGACAAAGATAAATGCCACCCCCGACAGTGGATACATTTTATGGGTGGTGAAGATGAAGATAAACTCGCGCGACTCACGCAACGGTCTACGTTTTCGTATTTTAGCCCGTGAAATGTCGTCCGTCAAATTGCTAGAAGACAGAATTGCCAATTTGGAGAAGCAGTTGTACGGACTTGGCAGAACGATGGGGGTCGACGACCCAGCGCCGTCGAACGCCATCCTCGACCGGCTCGCTAACGTCAACTCGTTGATCAGCTCGGCGTTGTCAGGTAGAGAGAAACCGAACGCGCTTATCAAGCGCCTGTCGGAGTTGAACGGCTACTTGGAGCCCACCTCCGAGGAAGTCGATATGCCGGCGAGCGCCAAGGCGCAATTGTTGTTGACGATGGAACCCGAGATCATGGAGACCCACAAACTGTTAACCAAAGTGGAGGAACTCATGCCTGTGTTAGAGTCGGAGCGTATAAAAAACGCGCCCGAATTGAACAAGTTCAACAAGATATCGCTGTCGTATCTCGAGGCTTACGACGACTCCAAAGAGCTGAGCGCTCACGTACACGATCTGTTATCCAAGTATAACACGGTTATAAATAGTATATCAGAGTCGTTAATTATTTTAGATAATGCGGTTACAGCCGCGGAAATAGCAGCTAAGCCGAAGAAACAAGTGGATTAACAAGATTAATTGTTTGTCCCACTTGAGTACATATTATTAATTTATCTCGTGTTTTAATACATGTTTTAATAGTTCCATTTTGTACGGTGCAAATTCACTTTTATCGTCGTATCTTTTCGCTCTATTTAAATGCATTATTAATTTATGGTGTTTTAATATAAATTGATAGTTCAGTTTCTACTTCAATTTTGTATAGTTTACTTTTAGCACTTATCTTTTAACTTATTTGTCGTAGAGATTTTTATTTTAGAAGCAATTTGGGGTCAGTAACAGGAAGGTAATACCGGGCCTGTGTAAAATACATTTATTTACCACTTTTACTTGAAATATAAAAATACGCATTCATCACTGACTACGTATACATGAACATACTTTATTGTATTTATTATTTAATCTCTATAACAATGCGTTTTATTAAAAAATAGTCATATATTATATACATTTATCCTACTTACTTTTCTAGTTGTATCCATGGTTCATTTCAGGAATCCTTATTTAGGATCTCTGAGACAAACTGTTGATTCATATATAATGGGACATGAATATGTATCGGTCTCTCGCATTAAATTATTACCTTGCAATTGGTGTACATAAAGTGCAATAGAAATATCTAAGATATCACAAAAATTATTTTAGTTCGATTGAGGCGATAACAAATTTCGTGTAATTATGTAAGTAGGCATTTTGAGTATAGAAATGTTATAAAATTTATCTTTAAGAGACCTGTTACACTAACAAATTCTTATACCACATTATTTATAATAAACAATTACTTTATACAGTATTTACATATTGCTTCCGTAATTATAGGTCGGTATAATTTTGCCTCCTTTGATTCTCATTACAAATTCTTGTACGGAATTTAAGCGCTCTCCTTTCGTCTAACAATAACGGCACTCAAGCTCTTCTTATGACAGTTCATCGCTCTCTGACGCGACGTTCGAGAATTATTAAGATACCTTTCGTGCTATCAATAGGAACATTAAAATTAGAAAAAGAGGAAAGATACGAAAGTACACGTGAACGACTTTTAAAAAGAAAGAATATTAGGGAAGTCTATCTCAAATTCTCTACTGCCGTCGTTTTTATACATAGAATCACGATCTTTTTTCACCTTATTAAACCTGCGATTCTCTTGTCAAACGTGTAGTATCGGTCTGCTACATACTTCGGGAAAGTTGATATAATAACGATTTAGCTTTGTGTTCGCAAAGCTGGCACTGTTTCACGCAACCACGAGAGCGCTGGTTTCAAGCTTGAGTAAATTGCTGGCTGACCGCTCGAACATCTGCTATGATGACTTAGTAAACCCTGAATTTCCCATCTTTCCGAGGTACCCTGTGACTCACTGGCACATATCAGGGGCGCTCCTTCGTCATTCTAAAAGCACAAATTGTTTTACCATTAATGTATAATTTACAATTTGTTATTAATACGATTTTTAAGTAATTGTACCAGGCGTGTTATAATTGTATTCGCATATTTATGATTTACGTAATGTGCTGTATATTTTATAATAACAATTAACTAATTGAATGTGATTATTCAAAAAGACGAGGTATTCGCGTTTCGAAGCTTCTTACTAAGCTTTATTATGTTTTTAAATATTTTATATTAATTAGCGTTGCATTTTTGTAGCGTTAAACTTACGTAACAAGGGCCTTTATCCGCGCATATATCGTGTTCCGTGATGAATTCTGCATAACTCGTGGCGTTACATTTATTGGAATCATCCGTCGGAACAGGCAAGAATTTGAGATATTGTTGCAAATTCATTTCCCCGTTCATAAGGAATCCCCATCCCGCCGTTACGCAAATCTGCCTCGGCTGAAAATTGCATTAAAGATAAGAAACGCGTTAATTATACAGCAATTAGCTCTGCTCAGCCTTATATTTAGTCAAAGGTGAATATAAATACCTGAATAGGCTGTTTGGGAAGACATACGGCACTAATGTTTCTGGAAAGTACTAATGGCTCTCCTAATTCAATCAGAGCAATGTCATTATTGTACAGGAACTGATTATACTTCACTTGAGGATAGGGCACGATATTTTTAACGGTGTGCCCTTTTAGCATATTTCCACCGGCAAAAAGTTGCCATCCGCTCTTTCCCTTGTGTCTGTAGGACCAAGTGGAAAAGCACATTATGTATTAATAATATGTTATATAATATTTGTGTTAAAATATGTATCATATATTAGCAATTACAACAATATGTTGTATATTATGTCGATAAAAAGTGAAACATTCCATTTTATAAACCGGCGCGAAATCATAAGATTAAGAAAATTAAGTTTTCGTTTTTTTTTCTAGGAAAAAACGTAAAATCATTTTTAATCGAGGTTTAGTTATGGTTTTATCCTTTCGAAAAGTAACTTCGTACATTCATTTCTATATCAAATTACCTGTAGACACAGGAATAACTGGTTAGAGCGTGCATAGGACCGAGAATACTGGCTGTACAAGCGGTCCCTTCTTCCGACTCCTTCAGTAAAGCCACGCTGGACCATTGCTCATGATTGGCTGGAGTCCCACCTGCCAATCTCGCGGTCGGTTCTTCCGCATAATGCTGACCGCAAGTGAACTCCTGGCACGACACTTGCACGACCTTGTCCGATACGCAGAATCCCACATCCTCTAAATTCGTGACTAGCGATAGGCGGTAATTAGGGTTCGTCTTCAGTCTTAGAATTTTCTGGCTTCTATCCCACGCGAATGATTCGATTGTCGCGTCCGATCCAGCGAATCCCAAAGCCTGACAATAGGAATCGCTAAATTCTTCGCTCCATCCGTCCGAACAGACTAGTTGATAGTCGCCGTCGTTTTGCCTGCACATAGAAATTTAAATCTCTTTAACAGCATAAATATAAAGTAGTGTAAAATTATTGCCAATTTTAAAGATATTTTTTTGTGTCTTTTAATTTTCTCCAGAATTTTTCTATCTAAATAAGCATCTTTATAATTACCCTAAAAAGTTATAAATGTTCATTAATTTATTTTAAAAATTAAAATTTTTTATGATTAGATTTATAGCTACTTTCTAATGAAATACGATAAATACGTTGTTGATTCACGATTTCTAGCTTGCAAAGACAATGAGACCGGGAAGACAAACGATTCAAATACCTTATCTTCAAAAATGGCACGCGATTAGTTAATTCGCTCGCCGTGTTGCCATTAGTGAGATTTCTTTCCGTAGTAGTATTGGCGATTAGGCAACCCCATTCGTCCGAGTAATCCGGGCAATTCTCGATGCCGTCGCAGACTTGGTCTCGAGGGATGCATCCACCAGTTTGACATGTAAACTGATCTACGGCACAGTCGCATAGCTTCTCGTCTTCCCCGAGAACGCAATCTGCGATTCCGTTGCAACGCCACGCTTGCGGGATGCACCACTTCTCCGTCGGGCACAGATACTCGTTGTTCCCGCAGCTCTCTGCGCAATTGTGTTCGTCGAGGTGTTCCTCGCAGTCGGGCCGACCGTCGCATTTCCATAGTCCCGGAATGCATCTTCCTGCAATCGGAAATTTTCGTAATCCCATCTGAATCTTGACAAGAATTATTACATATTTGACATCTCAACGATATTGAAATATTTGCCAAAAGTTTCATGATTCACTAGCGATAAGCTTGAGATTTATCGAATCACTTCATGTACGAAGAATATCCGGCAAGTAAGGTTACAACATTTTTGAAAAATTCAAAAATATTTTTCAACATAGTCGCCTCCAACTTCAATACATTTTGTCAGCCGTGAGACGAATGTTTTTATGCCAGTATCATCCCAGCAAA